AACCAAGGCTACAGAAGATGAAAGCTTTAACTAAAAAAGAAACCACTACTGTTAGAAGAAAATGATAAGGCTTTCTGAAAAAGCCTTGTATTTCAGGATACAAAAATTTAATGCAAAAAGAACATACTAAAAGAAAGATCTATCAAGCTCCTCAAGGCTTTTGTTCAGGCTGGGGTAACTGATGATTTTACAGTTGGTGAGCCTTTCTCACTCCTACCACTGTTACATTCATAAAATTGGATGATTTCTGTTCCAAGGCCAAAGACTGTAAAAACATCCTTCAGACTGAAGCTCTATCTTTACAACATGATTTGGTTTTCAAAAGTTTGACAATAACACTGGAATTCATACTTAACTCTACTCCTGTTCATATCTTGTTAAAATATAAAGTTGACAGAAAATAATTTAGAGTAAAGCATTATTTTTTCCTGTATCTCTTGTACTAAACTCATTATTCTCCAATAAATATTGTGTTTTAAGGGTATTGAAACAAAAATGTTGTATTGACTTCTCTGTTTCTCCAGTGATAATTTTCAGGACAGTGAACGTATCTTTCCAAGCCACATAACAATGGTTGTAACCAACTGCCGCTCATTCTCAACAACTGGAAGACATTATGGCTTCAAGCACCACAAATAGTTTTTCTTCCGTATCTCATTAATGGGTATCCTCCAAGCATGATGTAGCTGTAGCAATACCTGCCTCAATACCAAAGTCTTCATTGTGAAATAAAGGCAAAAACTACTCCTAACTACACAGTAAACCAACTATGTAAAGTTGTATTAAGACCAAACTTCAGCCAAGAAAATTAAACAATTCAAGGTAAGCTACACGTTGCTAAGAAATCGCTAGACAATCAGTTATTTTTGTGTAAAGAAACTTCTAAAAATATCACAGCTTCCTAAGTAGGGTAAGAAATACTCTACAATGGATAATTAACCCATTTTGACAGTATCATCAAGCCTGACAAACCAGCAAAAAAATTCTTGTAAGTATACACAATTTTATTTTTTCAAAAGGTAGTATCATAACAGAAGGACTAGAAAGGATCATACTGTTCTTTTTTCCCCATCTTTCATGAATTGTTAAATAAATATTTTACATGGTTTTGGCAAAATGAAATCTGAAGAACTCAAAAAACAGTGTACTATTCCAACAGCTTTGAAAACTCCTGCAAACAATTAACCCAGTTCCTTTATCCACGTAGCTGGAATTTTTAACTGCTCTCATTTCCCACAATGTTTACTTTTGATTGTTGTGCTTGAGACATTATTAATTGCATTATGCCAATTAAGTTGTTTTTAATCTTCCATTCTAACAATGAAAACATATAGAATCAAAAATTGTCGTTCCAATAATAAAACAACAATATATGCTATTTTCTAACTCAAATAGTAAAATGCTTAATACAGCCCACAACCAACATTTCTTAGGTTTTCAATATACACAAAACTGTGCATGTGTGAGTGTAGGATATAAAAAAACGTAGACACAGTATTTAACCTGAAAAAGTGAGCATCTAATTACATCTTACTCCTAGGAAACTATATATACGGTGAAATTGTGTCAGTATATATACGGTGAAATTGTTTAGAGTGTACCTGAAGACAGGAAAAAAGCATCCCCAAGAGTTAGTCATAAGAAGAGTTATCAAATAATACCAAGCATTTTCTTCTTCTTTTATCATCAGATCGTAATTAGTAAAGATCCACACAAGAAAGAGAAGTTAAGATCTTTCAACTGAAAGTTCCATTTGTCTCATTCAGAAGGACAGCAGCTCTTACAAGTCCTGCTGAGAAATCAGGCAATTGGTTTGTTTTTTGTTGTTTTTTTTTCATTTTTCTAGGGGGGAAGCGGTGGGTTTATTTTGTGGAGTTTTTTGTTTGGTTGGTTTTTTGTTTGGGTTTTTTGGTTTTTTTTGTTACAGTCTGGATGACAGATAACAGTTGTGCCACGAAGTGGTGGCAGCAGCCATGCTCAAACACTGTGCTGACCAAGAAACTAATTCCCCAAATAAATGAACTAGTACAAAATATTTGTGGGTTTACAGGCAGCTAAATGCGGAAATGTAATTCTTAGGAAGGCAAGGAATTCGCCCTTATTGAGATTTCAACCCCCCAGATTTTTTTTTTTTCTAAGAGAAACTTAAGCGATCACATTAAAATCTCCAGTGAGACAGACAACTGTGTCAAGGTCCCAGAATTTCAGTTTCTGTTCCCTGATCTTGAAACGAATCACTCTTGTGCCTTCTGAAGTCACCAGGACACATGAAGTCCTTCAAAACAGACCCTGTTCACACCAGCAGTCCCCATAAGGCGCTTTTTTTTTTTTCTGGATATGTGCTAGGGGAACAGTCATCTGGGTTTGTTCATGACTGATGGAAGAAAAACGCATATTTAGAAAAAGGTGTGCTGTCTTCAGTGCCTGAGAAAAACTCAGAAAAAAATTCTACTATCTTCCTTTCTTTCAAATATGTATTTTCTTCAATCTACAGCAACTCTTAGCGTCTTTGTCCAACCAATAAAGAAGTTCTAGAAGTTGTAAGTAGCCATCTCAAGCAATCTTTTAATGTGAAAATACTCATGATGTCAGACTCTGGTGTAACATCCACTTTCTGGCTCCAAACCACTTTGGCTAGTGTAAGTATTTTTCGTTTTTGTCTTTTCAGCTGAACTCCCCTCTGCAGCTTGCTATACTCCTCAAGCCTAAACATTCAGTAAGAGAGAAGGCAGGCATTTTTACTTACATAAAACACGGAAGTAGAAGCTTATGGACTCTTTCTGTATGTTATATGGAAAATTATCAGTTCCTATATTCTGCACACAGACAATCAGTTTTGAACGGATTTGCATCTCCTCTGAGAAGTGTCTGGTATCCATACACTGAAACTGCTAGAGTAGTCCAGATAATACAAGCCTCCTTTAAGTTGCAACTTCAAAGACCACTTAACAATTTACTTTGTTAACCATTTATATTCTGTTCATTCTTTCCTAAAAATTCTAAAATATCCACTTAGGTTATGCAAAAGAGTTCTTTATGAAATCTTCTGATCAAGAACTTCAGACAAAAAGTTGCTGGAAGTGATTCACCAATATAAAATCTCCCGCTATCTTAAATAACATCAATGATTTCTGTGAAGGCTGTGATGTTACTCTTCCATGCTGAATGAGGAATATTTCTATGCCAACTCTAAAAAGCTCTCTTAGTCTAGAAATCAACAGTGGTGAAAAAATATGTAAACAACTAGTGCCTTTTAGGCTACGATCCAGAAGAGGCAGGAATTTCTTTCGTCTAAGAAACAAAAACACTGTAAAGCTAGTAAGTGTCTATCTGTTCATTTTTAAAGACTAAAAAAACCAAACAAAACTAACCTTTTGTTATAAAAATATTATTAATATAAGGGTGCATTTCTTAACAACAGAGACCACTTAGAGCACAATTTCAGATAACTGTGTTTACTAGCTATCTGCCTGAGACATGGGAAAGCTTTTCCTCTTTCTCAGCTGCTCACTTTGAAGACTCCTCCCTTTCTAAAAACTATTTCAAAGCAAAATTTTTTTGCCTTCTACTCTCCAGATTACAAATCTATCGTCCCTTGACAATTGTTCTTAAAGTTAACGCTTACAAGTCCTGCGCTCATTAACACCAAGTGAAGAAACGTCCTGAATGTATTTGGCCAATACAGTCCTGAGTGCAGACAGCCTTTGAGATGCCTGCATGAGTCAATCCTGGAAGGAAAAGCACAAGGTAGACAAAGCGAACACTTCTGGGAGATGTGTGCAGAATGGAACTTGCAGCGAAACCCTGACAGAAGCCCCGTAAAACATGGGTGTTTGAGGTCAGTACTGCACCATACCTGATCACTTGATATATACTCTCACAAATTGAGATGTTTCCAGAATCCTCATCATGCTGCAACAGACATATGTCATAAAACCCCCCCCAAAACACACCAACCAATCACATGACCAAGTTTAAGGCTGAGAGCAAGTCAGAAAAGCTGAATGCCTCGATAGCATTGCAATGTTGCCTGGCCAGTGCTTTACCCTTTTCTTTTTGCTGCTCATTTTCTTCTTTCCTTCACCAATTTGTGAGGACATTTGTTTTTTTACTGTGCTAAAAACCCTAGGATTCCATCTGATGTATCTGGCACAAAGCACTTCTAAATGGGTCAATGAAACCTTTTCAGTTACCACCTTTTTTGAAGACTAAGATCTGTGCAAGGACCAAGAAAGAAAAAAAAAAAAGTGAGGCTGATTCAATCACTAGAGTCACCAAGGAAAAACAAACAAAAACACAGTAATTTTATGTGAAAACCATTTTCTTGGCCTATACAGGACTTGAGATCTAGCCTTTTGACCGGAATTTGTACCTCATTTCAACACACAATTTTAAACAGTATTGGTTAAAACTGAGATATGCCTAGTACAAAACATTAGGAAGTTATAAAATTTCTGAAGCATTTGATGATGTCATAACATATAAGATACAAAAAATGTATCAATTGACAGTAAGGCTGAAGATAAAAAAAGGTCTGACCCAAGTGTTTCCAGTCCCTTGCAGTTAAAATTTCAAGCTACTACAGAACTTTGAAGTTGAAAGTAAAATACAAGTAGCACCACACTTAAAGCTAAGAGAACTGAAAATGAGGATACTGTATTGTTAGGCCCACAAAATGCCCTCCGTACTCCTGAGTGGCATAGGAACTTTTAATTTCTGTGCTTTAACTGTTACAGTAAAAACTTCAAGCACCACGTATTTCTAAACAAATTCGTGTTTCGTCTAGCAAGCTTAAGATTCAAATTGTCTAACACCTTGACAGATGCAGCTAATAAACAGGGAAATATGCAAATATTCACAAATTTCCAACTGCATCATAGTAGTGACAAGCTGACTCTCGAAATACTTCAACTATGTTTCACTAATGCAGAAAACAGACAAAGCTTTTTGTTACTAAAATTAATTGCCTCTAATATTTAAGTATCTAAACATGGTATTACCTTCATGGCATGGATTTCTTCTATCAATCTCTCAACTCGTTTTTGGTTCTTTAATTTCATGTCTTCTGAACCCCTGCAAATGAAGTCTGGTTTTACTAAAAAAATCAGATTTTTGTTCATTTCCTTGTGTGAAAATACTAAGTAACAAAATTAAATTATCACAGGAGTAAGCATTCCTTTATTGTTAATGGAATATTTCAGCAAAGAGTTGAGCATAATCTAATGCTTCCACTGTTCTGAACAGAAGAATAAAATCCGAGAATTCAGCAGAATAATAAGAAAGACAAATGTTACTTCATTACAAAACAGTAATTACAATTCCTATCAACAACACATAGGAGACATTGATATTTCAAATATAATTACATTTTAAGATCTGTAATATTTAAATGTGAAAAATTAATGGGCTTGCTTCTTATTTTGCAGTTTGTTACAACTGTGGGAGAAGAGTACACTCAATTTACACTTTGAACACAGTAGCAGACGTATCTTGTACTGTCCCCATTAAGACACATCATAAGTTACTTTGGGCCAGTTATCTTTAAAAATATTATCTACAAAGTGTTGTTTTAACTACTTACTTCAATATTAACTAATACTAGTTATTAAAACTCAAGTATGACTTGTGTATCTATGCAAACTGAACATTTCTTTTTTTGCTATAGAACCTTGCAGACAACTGCAGTGAGAAAATGTTGCACAAATTACGTTCAACAGCAAAATAAACTAAAAGCTCAAGTCTCACACCTTCAAAAGTACTGTAAAAGGTCCTGTAAGTGCTAAGTATTAGCTTCCAATACACCACATCCCTTAAAAAATGTTATCCCAATTCTGCTTTATGAAACTGCTTTTTAGTTAGCATTCTTAGTCTATCTAAAGTGAGGTAAAAATAAGACAAATAGAATTTATGCATCATAATGCCTTAAGTTTTATATGTAATACATGTTTCTCCCACTTGTCTTTTCTTGGGAACGCAGTTAAGATACAGTCTCATTTATAAACAAGCAAACAAGAATACTGATATTTAAAACTGACTTTTTCAACTTTAATTTCCCTATGTGTCTGGTTAGTCTGCGAATAGTCAGGACTCTGGCCTTCTTCACATCTTTTCTCATCTTCACAACCTGTCAGAGAGATGGAAGACATTATAAAGCTTGTTTTCCTTGATTAGTTTCCATATACAATACATTCATTACATTGACTTAAATTTTAGAAATTAATTCAACAAAAAGAACCATTTTTGAAAACAGAGTGCATTCCCCTGCTAACGAAATCACAGTTCAAATTAATTCAGATTTAATTTACAATAAAACTGCTTTCAAAAACATCAGAGGAAGAACAACCAACAGTCTAAAAATGTGTCTGAGGTCTAAACAGAAGACAAGACATTCCTAACTGGCCATATTTTAATATTATTCTTAGAGCTAGACTGAACTAGAGATTTGAAAAGACTCACCTTTTGCCTTGACTTTGTTTATTTTTGTCTCAGCGAAACAGTACCAGTACTTTTCCACTAGTGCATAATACGTAAAAGCATTTTCATTATGAACCATTTTATAAGATTGAGGAAAGACTCCCAAACTAAGCATTATTTATTAATGCACAGAAATCAAGATATGAAAGTATTTTTATGTATTTGAATTGATTTTTGTTGAAAACAAATTCAAAGTGATTTCCAACTCATTGCAGTCTCCTTCAACTTTCTATTGTACCTAGCACCCTGTTCCCAAAATGTATTTCACAGTAGACAATATTAAAGAAAATATGACAATGATGTTTTGGTCTTATTTCTCGCCCCAAAATAAAAGAAACAGAATTCTAATGCTTATTTAGACAGATGGTACAAACGGACAAATCTTTGGAATATTTTGCCGTTAAATTCCATCATGAGAAACCCTAGGCCTAGACATTGTCTTGTCAATGGTGAATATTCTGGAGATACAGGGAGTCAATACTGCTTTAAAATCTTGTTTTTTGACATCTCAGAAAACCCCCTTATTTATCCAGATATATATTACCATCCCTAGTATTTAACAGTTAAACTTAGAAAATACGAAATATTAGAACAAACAAAAAAATCTTTCTTCCTAAAAAACCACCACATTTCTCTTAACTTTATCCAGTGGGATGTTTCAAAATAAGTTGGCACCTCTTTCTCGAGAAGTTCTTTATCTCAGATCTCTATTTTCTCTTGTAATTTCACAGAGATCACATCAAAATGATTGCTACTGACCGGATTCTTGCAGCTGAAAGATCATTTGTGTGAACTAATATCCAATGTCTTTAATTTTTTGAAAATGTAATCGTGTCGTGTATGTGAAGAGACATTGCTTTAATGTGCAAGAGGTTTGCAACACTAGGACAATGCAGACCCTCCAGAACTCGGTGCAGGCATTGTGGTGTTGGGGTAGTGGCTGGACTTGATGATCTCAGAGGTCTTTTCCAACCTTAATGATTCTATGATTTCACTCCTGTGTTGGGAAGCCTGGCTAGTATATTTTCCCTGTGCATAGACCATAAAGGTGAGACTGTATTATTTATTTAAAAAAAACTAAACAACACATGTCAACTGATTATGTTTCTAGCTAGGATACCAACACAAGCAAGAAGTTAAGCCTTGACCTGTGCTCAGCAGTAGCTCTGCTGACAGCGAGATCAATCAGAGCAAAACAATTTCTACAGAGGGGCACATGCTGACCACTGGCGCCATGTCTGCCAGGTAGGAGGAGGAGGAGGGTGTGGAGCAGCACCTGCTCGAATTATACTGTGGAAGCTTTACCGGCACTTGCACAGACAGGAGGGAAAATGCAAAGAAGGTTTTTGAGACAAGAATGGCTGACTCAAAATTGGTCTCCTGTTCTAAAATTTGTACAGTGAAGGTCAGTACTTACCTTGGTTACCCTAGTGAAAATAACTGTGCACACAGGTCTACCTACAAGCATTTCTACTTCAGTTAAGCACTGAAACCATGTGTTGAGAGGCACCTGTGCTGTGTCTCTGCTAGACAGCAGCACTGCTCAAATCTTCACGCACTAAGGAAGAAATCCTTAGCATTACTATTAGCCATCTGAGCACGAAAACACTTCTTTTTCTAAGATATTGACTGGAATTATCACAGCTCCCTATGCTACATCTTCTTCTAAATGGAAGCAAGAAAATAAAGCATCTTCTGGTTGGATACCTCTTAAGATACTTCATACATTCAAGAGTTTGGCACTTCAGATGCAAACTGGGCACGGGTATGCCTTCTTAGAAAGTTTGGAGAGGGAGAGTTGCTTGTTTTGGTGTTTGTTTGCTTGTTTTTAAAGTAACCATCAAAAACATCCACAAGCTACAAACACCCTCTGAATGTAAATAACTTGTACTTCACATGTTAGTTACTGCGTATCCAAACATGAAGTATATTTAACTTTCTCTCAAAAAAAATATTTTGCAATGTATTTTTTAATAGAAATACTAATGCAGACACAGCATGTTTCCGGGGTCTGCAAGAGCCAAAACCCAGCCTCCCCTGCTGCCAACTAATGAAGGCTGTAGAGACATATGGCAGCAAGAATGAGGGAAGGTATTCGCTCTTTGGCAGACTAGGAATATCAATTTATGTAATCCACAGTCACTTCTTTCACACGGGACAATATGCGTCAACTGTGTTCTTGGAAACAGTCATAAAGTTCTCAAGAAAGCAGTCAGCTCAGCTCCCTGGGACAGAAATCCAGAAAGTTTTGCATTAACTTTACAGTGTGCCTGAAACAACGGGGCTTACACCACCATGGCAGCTCCTAGGACTCACTGAACTATTCGACTCCCATGTTACAAAGCAAGATAGGCAACTTCATCTTCAGTAAAAAAAACCCAAACACCAAAACAAACAAAAAACCCCCCATCAAAAACAGTAGTAGATTTTGAAAAACAATAGCAAACATTTATTTGTAAGTAAGATAGCATTTTTTAGAAATAGGTTAAGAAAAGACAAGAAGAAAAGTCTCTGCACTTAAATTTAGAAAGGCTGCAGTGTGTAAGTCAAGATCAGACACCAATGCTTAAAGACTGTGCAATGAGGATTTTTAATCTACTTGGAGGTGGCAGTAAATGCAAAAGAATAATTATAACCACAGGCAAATCTCAAAACAAACAATTTCTTCTATCAACAGGAACACACTCTAAGTTTCCTGGGAATTCAGGAAGCCTGCAATTCTAAATGAAAACAACCACTTCAAGGATTCTTTGCAACAAAGAAGATGAGATGTTTTCCTTTGTTTAAGACATTTCTTCATTCTGTAGGAAAATACTATCCAAGAGGCAATTAAGCCAATACTAGTCAGTAATACCAACAAATATCTGTGTTTATTAATTTATTAATTACATTCTTAAATAGAAAGTAAGAATAGATAATACATAAGTAAGAATAGCTAATATAAAAGAACAAATGTAGGTAATACATAAATTATTAAACTTGAAAGAAATTCTAAGGGAAATGAACTCACTTTTAAAAACAAGCCATAGTTAGAAATAAAATTCGTATCCATTCTGTACTTTGCCTTTCACAGTATACTTCAAGTATTCATATTATTTCAGACCCTAAACAAAGATGAGATGCAAAAAACTTGCATAGCTGCAGGTATTCCACAAAGAGAGGATTCCATCACCCCAACAGCTTGCGACCTACAGTAAGCACTGCCACAAAACACAACGTGCATCAGCCTACTGCACACAAGCTCTTTCAAGTCACAGGCAGACAGTAGCTGCTGCAGTTTCGAGAAAAAGGGTAAACAAAGAGCACAGCATGGGATCAGCATATTACTAGCCAGACACAAACTAGAAACCCTCTCTTGCAATCTACCTTTGCCCAAGGAGTGCACATTACAGAGGGTGATTATAACAGGAACTGCTGACTTCAGCACCACCTACACTAAAGGGATACTAGCTCCCAGTACACACTCACTGCTAGCAGCGGCAGTACCCAGCGGTAAGAGCCCAGATTTGGATGGATGGGTACACTTGGCATGGTACAAAGGAACAATAGGGTATGCGTCAAATCAAGAGTGTGATTTCCAGCAAAAAATGTATCTAACAAGTGTGTGTTTAAAGGCATCACATGAACTACATTTCCCCCAGAACGTATAGCTGAGGAAGGGAGAAACCAACAGCTTCAGCTGCTTTGCCTTCTTACTTCCAGGTTGCTCCTGCCTTTGAAGGATGAAAAACCATTCCCAGAGATGTGTCATCTTGTGGGGCAGTCCAATATCAAGCCTTTTCCCAATACTCGGCATGTCCATGCCCCTCCCACACCCAAGCAAGGGGAATAAAGGTAGAGAAATTGATAACTGATTATTTATTGTACCTGTGATCTCTAGGTTTCCTTTTAGGTTTTTTCCAAGAAAACAGTTTGGTTTGAATACTGACATTTCAGTCATAGTTACAAATTAAATAATTTCAACTAAAAAAAATCATAGAAGGGCTGAATCAGTGCCTAAATCAATGTTGGACTTCCTGGAAAGGGCTTCTGATCACATCCATTATACCTTTTAAACTAATAGGACATTGTTATTGTATATAATGCAAGACAGAACACGTGTAATAGAAGGGAAAGTTGTTTCAAGAGTCTCCCACAGAATTAAGCTGTTGCAAAAAAAACCTTTTATGAAAATTTTCAAGTTTCTGAGAGAGAAATCTACGGTATTTTTAGATGAAAGAACCAAAAAAAATCTGAACTTTCTCTCCGATACTTTAGGTTTTTAGAACCTAAATCACTATGGAACAGTCCTCATACTGGTGATGGCAACAAAAACACACCAAGAAATGTGGACAAAACAATATAGGCACAATACTACATTCAAATTCACATGACTGATCAAAAGTATTTGTCTTCACATTTTTAAGACAACAGCAGCAAAGTTCTCAAAGGAACACTACATTAGAATAAAATGTTATACTTGGCCACTTCTGAAACTTGTTTTGAGGTCTGTACAGGCAACAAGCCTCCAAACAGGTACGTGCCTACTCTGAACTATAGCATCAACTATACTTGACCAACAAAACCCCAAACTCAAACCGTTCTACAAAAAACACTAATTCAACGGATTAAGAGAAAAAATAAGCAGTAACGTGTTTCTGCCCACGATTTGATTAATACATTCTATTCAAAAACACTAGAATACTAGAAGAACTGTGTAGGTTTACAAATATGAAAAGTGTTTTTCATCTTACCATGTACAAAAGCTAGTACTATACATGAAAATACATGAAAGACTCAGAATGTCTTAAATTCTTCTTAACTCAAAGTTAATAAAAGTTTACTTACGCAGTTGGCCCCAGCCATCCAATATGCATGAAAGCAAATAAACTGATGGCCATGTATTTTTCCTCTGAGCAGCCTGAACCACATACAAGTGTTCTCCTTGGGCTACAGCCCATGAGGTGCTGAACATTTTGGACCTGACCCAATAATGCACTTTAATTATTAAATCCTTAAACAACCAGCACTAGACAGACTGGAGTTTTTTCATCCACTTCTGCTTTATGCCAGCACCCAGTCTAGTCCTAGTCCTTGTACAAGTAACCAGAAAAGACAAATCATTCTCTTCTCCTCAAGGAAGGACACTGCACCTAACCTCATCCAGTGAAAAAACTCACTGTAAGAATTTGTAGTGTTCTGAAATATCCATAATGCTTTACAAGCACACATCCATTAAATAGAAGCCTCACTCTTCTCCCTCCATATGGTGAAGTCTCTCCTATATGGAGACTGTCTTTAAGGTCAAGACACCATTGCAAAAAAATTTCATTTACAGTTTATAGTTATCATTCCTAAGCAAATCCGTAATTTCACACAGACGGGCCCAAATCCACTCTGCAATTTCCGCCTTTTCTATCACTTGATGCCTGACAAAAATAGGGTAGTTCTGGGTTTGCTTTTGTGCTTCAGTTTCATCCTGTCCTCAAGGCTAACAGGCTTATGCATCAACAAATGTCAAAGCAAGAAATCTAGTTTAAAAAAAAAAGTGAAAAGTATTTAAGCAGAGTATTCAAGGTCTCTCCAATACCTACAAGAAAAACATGGAACTAAGTAATGTTTCAGTTCTCACTGATTGTCTTTCCTCATTTCAGGGCACACTAAAAGCATTGGTTTCATTTTATAGTTACTTGGCAGTCTTCAAACCAAGAAATTACCATGGCAACGGAGTATTAATTTTTGGTGCTATTTGGCAACCGAGAGTTTTAAAATTCAAAACACCTGCAGCTGGATCACGTTAGCCAGAACTAACAATAGTACATAATCTTTTGAGTGAATAATCTTCGTGAAAAAATGTTTCTGGAACTTCATTACAAATACTTCTCTCTATTACCTGGAATGTCGGCTTGAAAGATCTAACGATTTTTAGATTCTTAGGAAAAGTTAGGAATTGCCAAGTTGTTTTTTTTTTCTCTTTTAGAAAAAGAATCACTATATTATAGTATACATTTTATACACGTCAAAACATGTGGAAATAGCCAGTCTTAGACTTACAGTTTCATACATTTGTATTATAAAAACGTATGTAACTAGGGAGGTAAAGGTTGCAACAACAATGTAAATGCACCCATATGGCTTATCAGGGTTCAACTGTTCAGTTCCAGCACAGTTTTACACAAATATATATCCACAAAAAAGAAAAACCACGCACATCCTAACCTTACAAAAAACAAAACTAGGCGACTTTTCAGCCAGAT